AGATAAAAACTGAAATGTTTTCAAAAGACAAAAGAATGAAAATCAAGTGGAGAAGAGAAGAAACCATTTTTAAAATAACGGTTAATACTGTGAGGCATCTCGTCAGTTTTATGGTTTGTGATTGTGTCTCATTCAACGAGACGAAAGTTTTCAAACCAGTAGACAAAACGCTGAACAGTATTCAATAGTCAAAAATATTGAACACCGGCTTGCTGCCATCTGCTGAAAAACTTGAAATTGATCAATCAAATCTCATTTTTATGCAAGACAATGCTCCGTGCCACACATCAAACAGACGAAAAATTAATTTTTCCGAAAAAAAATGTTATTGTTATGGTATGACCACTGCAGTTTCTTGACCAAACCCAATCGAGAATTTATGGAGCGTAGTAAAATTGAGACTTTCGAAGAAAATCATTCAAAACAAAGTTTTGATTGAAAAAATGGAATGAAACAGTTTGCTAGAAGATGACATCTGCAAAAATCTCATTAAGTGAATGCTGGTCTGAATCAACAAAGTTCTGAAAAACAAAGATGGAAGCATAAATGACTAATGAAATTTCCTTTCGTGTTTTTGTTTTACAAAATTTTATTTTTTAAGTAAATATTACATTACCTTTTTACGTTATTAATACAGTACAAAAAGTGAGTCATTTCTTGCAAGGGAAATATTTAACTTAAAGACAAAAAATAGCATTCTTTAGGTTTGTTTCTTAAGAATTTTTTTATAAAATCTGCAGACAATGTATCATTTCCCTTACTTATACACAAAACTTTTTAAAACTCTATTTTTATCTAAAATTAAGAAAAAACAAGATTTGTTTCATCCCAAAATTGACTGAGTCACTTTTTTGTACAACACTATATATATATATATATATATATATATATATATATACACGAACATATATAAGTAATTTTAATATATATATATAAGTAATTATAATATATATATATATATATAAGTAATTTTAATATGTATATATATATATATATATATATATATATGAGTGATTTTATAATTTTAAACTTAATATAGATTAAATTTAAATTTTAAAATTGGTAATTTATATATATATATATATCAACATGATCCCACAGGGGGCGGTGATCTCTTCTCTCTCCATATGTGGTCAGCCACATATGGAGAGATCATAGACAGGGAACACCATTGGAAAATTCGTAAACTTAAGGAATCAGCACATATGCTAGGCCACAAAAATCTCCTGAGCCGACCAAGCATAGAAATAAATACAATATGGGAATCAGTAATAAGGAGTGCCAGAGAAAAGCAATGATAACAAAGTTGCAATATGAACTCTGGTAAAGACATGCAATGATAACAGCAAAAATTGCAATATGAGCATTGGTAAAAATGATGCTGAAAACATTAGGTTGATAATACTCAGAAGTTCATACCCATATGTCCTCAAGGACACATGGCACAGTGGATAAAGGCGTTGGTTCGATCCAGTGACAGACCCAAAGAAGGTGAGTTCTTAACCTGGTTAAGGCAGTGGAGAACTTTCAGAGGGGTATTAGCAGGAGGTAACTGATAACTGACATCCATCAAACGTGGAACTAGATCAGTCTACCCCAGTGATCGAAATAAAGGGTTCAGTTCGAAATTCCAACCACCTGAAGAAGGCCGGAGCGTACAACGGCCGAAACGTTGTGACAAAGATGAGGACAATAGTCCGACTAATGTTCTTTTGAATATTTATTTTTCCCAAAATTCTTACATTTTTTTCGGTGGGTCTAAGGGCTTTTAAAAATTGTCCGTATAATCCGAAATGCTTCGGGACACACATTTAGCCATTTTCAAGGGACTTTTTTTTAGGTATTGTAAATTTTTCTTCATGTTTGACTGTTTAAGATGTATTTTTGTGCACTTTTGAATACTAGTAAGGCCTTTATTCCGGCCTTCGCGCGTTGAGTGTGTCTGGAATCCAAACGAGCGTTTTTCTATTTTTAAAATAATTTCAACACAGCATTGCAACTGTTTGATAGTGGGAGGGAGATATTTTATATATAGGCATTATCTCATACTTCTGGTAATCTGATTTATAAAGGACTTTAATGTTTTCATCCAGAATTTTTCTTAAAGACACTTGTAGATTGTGGTTAGCTAGAATTATTTTTATAGCATTTTGATCACATACTTCGCTCGTGAGGTGTATACTTAATGAAGTGGTAATATTTCTGATGTAGGTAATTTATTTATTACAATAAACAGTCTTGTACTTTGTACTGGGAAGTGAAATTGATACACTACATTAGTCATCGCTCATATACACTACATTGCTCATCGCTCATATATATATATGGACGAAACGTGAATGAAAGAAAGATTGCTGCCTAAATACACAAAGCACGGAGGGAGTAATGGATAGCGGCTTGGATTTAGGAATCGGAGAGCCGAGTTCGAATTCCAGTCGAATCCATTACATTCACTTACGTGCTGATACCCTTGGGACAGGTGTGAATCCTCTTCTTCTCCCTCCAGTTATGGGTAAATAGCAGGACAGACTGGGTTCTATAGCCTTGGATGGTAACTGGACTAGGAGAATGACAACTCTGATTTCAAAACTTACGAAGGGTCGTTTGGGGACATTGTAGTGCACCAGGTCTCTGTATTCGGCCCTTCAAAAAGTGTGGATGGTCCTGCACGAAACCTTCACCACTATAATCAAATCTTATGTGCTGTTGTCGGTTTCCTGGGTACTGATCTGTTTGACCCTCATACGTCGAATTCGACAGGAGACTCTAGTATATATATATATATATATATATATATATATATATATATATATATATATATATATATATATATGTAAGCAAATATATGGATATAGATCCGACAGTATGAAGAAAAATATATACGGAAAAACAAACAAACAAAAATCCTTATATACAATTTATACTGTTTTAAAGTTAATATGTCAACGTTGGACGTTTCGGTATGTCCTGAAGATGGTTTATTAGACCGAAACTTCCGACATTGACATATTAACATTAAAAAAGTATAAATTGTATATAAAGATTTTTGTTTGTTTTTTCCGTATATATTTTTCTTCATATATATATATATATATATATATATATATATATATATCGTGAATATACATAATATCCAATACCGATAGAAATAATTCTTGCAATATTCAGGTGTGGAACACACACACACACACACACACACACACACACACATATATATATATAAGCAAGTCGTTTATGTCACTATGGCGCAATGGCTTACTGGTGTAAAACAGAGTGACAGGTGAGGAGAAAGTGTTTTGATTCACACTGACATATGCATTGTGCACTTTTACCCATAAATACGGCATTCCTTAAAATCATCCATCCACCCATACATATATATATATATATATATATATATATATATAGATATATAGATAGATAGATAGATATATATATATATATATATATATATATATATATATATATATATATATATATATAGAGAGAGAGAGAGAGAGAGAGAGAGAGATAGATAGATAGATAGATATGTACGCTCCAGCAAATTGGTTTGGGCTCCCCACTTCTATTGAGGCGTATTTCGTATCGAGAAAAACGTTCGAATTACGTTCCTTTCTGTTGATGGTCTAGAGGTAAGGTATCTGGCCGATGTCAATTCAGTTAAGTTTCGATCCCGGTTGAAAGCAATCGGACGTCTAGACACATTCAGGAGCTGTGATACATCGACCAGTCTGTCTGAAGATAACTATATATATATATATGCACCCACGCACACACACATAAATTTCTTTGAGTTTCATTCGTCTGTCCGTCGACCACACCCTATAAAATAGCCATACATTGACCGATAAAAATAAAATTTGGGGAAGAAGTGTAAACAGGCAAGGTTTTAATAGGGTACGTAGCTTAGTAAAATAAATATTCATTATCTTATTGAAAAAAAAATCAAACAAAAAGTTTTATTATTTATCATAGAAAATACTCCCATTATTTTAAAAACAATTTAATGTTTAAGATATAATACTTATTTAATAAAGATGCAATATTGTCATTTGTTAATATTGTTATCTTTTTAAATTTTTAGAAATACAAGAATCCAGTTTCGAATTGTTTCTGTCTTTGCAAGAACTATAAACAAATTACAAGGCCAAAAGCTTCAAAAACTTGAAATTTGGCTCCAGAAATATTTACGCATGGTATGTTGCATACTCAAGAGTAAGAAATATTATGAATTTATTATTCGCTGTTAAAAAAAAATAAGAATTTTCTTAAAAATATTGTTTAACCATGAAGTCCCATAAAATTAAATTAAATAAATTATTAAACCGCGAAGTAGTTTCTTTTTTTTTCAAATTAGTGTTCCAAACAAATCAGCTTAGTCAAATTCGATCGATAAAAACTAATAGCGGTAAATTCAACAATAATAAATACTATGAGGACACTCATACTAACTCTCGTTAGCGTGTTACAAAACAAATCTAGTTTATAGAAAATGCACATGAAGTCAACTTTACGGCTGTGGGAAAGTGACTGAACTTGAGATGCCAGGTCAAGACCAATAATATTGCTGATTGTTCCTTGGATTTTATGAATAATCTTCAGATATACTGCTAGATAACCTGGCCATATATGGCAGTAATAGGTTAAGCAAAGACCAATGGTAGACTTATGTAAGTTTCAAGAGAGAAAAATTGTCTAGTAGGATACAATGTACCAATTTTCTTAGCAGCTGACTTAAGAATTTAATTTTCTTCTTTTTCTTCTTTTGTCACTTTCTTTTATTGTTATAGTCTTTTATTAATCTCGCTCTGCTGACTTTCCATCTTCTTTTCATTTTTTTCTTCTTTTCCGTCTTCCTTTTATTGTCCCGCTTAAACTTCTTTTCCCGCCTCTGTTAGTCTTTCATGTTTCTTCTTATTTTCCTTTTATTCAGTGTATTTTTCGTTTTTCATTCTTCGTCTTCCTCTTTTAATCTTTCGTCTTCTTTTTTTGTTTTATAGACAATCATTATTTTCTTATTTTCCTTCCGACTTTTTTCTTTTACTTTTCTTTCTTCTGTTGAATATTTCAAGTTAACTTCTCTTCTTTTTCTAATTTCCTTCCAACCCGAAATGATTGCTTTTCTTCGGCGCTCTTATTCACGTTATTTCGCACATCGATTTTTTTCTTCATTTTCATGCTTTTTTTATTTTTATTTTCCGGTGAATTTCCATTTCTTTACCAGCAAAATTTCATTCTTTTTTATGTTTAATCTAGTTCTTGTTCTTGTTCTTCGTTTTCTTCTTTTTTCTTCTTTTTCTTCTTCTTTCATTCTTTTTCTTTTTCTTCTTTTTCTTTTTTTTCTTCTTTTTTTCTTCTTTTTCTTTTTCTTCTTCTTTTTCTTCTTCTTTTCTTCTTTTTCTTTTTTCTTCTTTTTTCTTCTTTTTCTTCTTCTTGCTTTTCATTTTTCTTTTAATTATTATCTGCATTTCTACATCTTCTTCTTCTGCGGATTTAATCCACTTTTACAGTTGAGTTTTATTCTTCATTTAATTGTTCTGTAGATTTCTTTAATTCCTTCCTGATTTTCAATCTTTTAATTTACTTTTGGATTCTTTTCTTATCTTCTTCTTTTATGGTTGACTTTCATTCTTCATTTAATTATCTTTTTGGATTTTACTTTTTCTTTTCCTCTCCTTCTTTTATAGTTGAATATAATTTTCTTTTAATTGCTATTCTTCGTTTTCTTCCTGACTTTAATTCGTATTTTAATTCTTATTTGGATGTTTCTTTTTTTTCTTCTTTTTCTTATTCATCATCATCATCATCATCATCATCATCATCTTTTACAGTTGAATTTAATTCTTGATTTACTTACTATATAAACGTTTTCTTTTTCTTCATGTTATACTTCTTCTTCGTCTTGCTTTTCATTCTTCATTCAATTATTATCTGCATTTCTACCCATTCTTCTTCTTCCGAGGAATTAATCTATTTTACAGTTGAGTTGTATTTTCCTTTTACTTGTTCTGTAGATATCTTTGGTTTCTCCCTGATTTTCAATCTTCTTTTAATTACCTTTTGGATTGTTTCTTCTTCTTCTTCTTCTTCTTCTTCTTCTTCTTCTTTATTTTTATGTTTCAATTTCATTCTTTATTTAATTATCTTTTGGATTTTCCTTTTCTTCTTCTTTTTCTTTTTCTTCTGTTTTAGAGTTGAATCTTTTTTTGTTTTACTTATGTAGATTTCTTCTTGATTTTAATTCCTATTTTAACTATCATTTGGATTTTTCTTTTTCTTCTTCTATTTCATCATCATCATCATCATCATCATCTTTTACAGATGAAATTCATTCTTCCGTTACTTATCATATAAACTTCTTCTCCTTCTTCTTCTTGCTTTTCAGTCTTCTTTTAATTATCATCTGCATTTCTATATCTTCCTCTGTGGATTTAATTCACTTTTACAGTTGAGTTTTAATCTTCGTTTACTTGTTCTTTAATTTCTTCTTCTTCTTCTTCTTCTTCTTCTTCTTCTTCTTCTTCTTCTTCTCACTTTCAACGGACGAGAATTTGACTACATCTGAGAACGAGGCTCGCCCACGACGTCAACGTCGTTCTTTCGCTGCTGTCGACATGGTGGAATGGTTGAAAATCTCATCAATATTGAGTGAGTGTCGTGGCTTTGCGGGCTAGCTGATGATAAGATGTCTGGCCGCCTCGAAGATGTAACTCTGATTGAGTCAGTTGATATAACTCGGTCTTCATGTGCAGTTTGACAAAAAGATTTTGGGCGCCATATCCATCTGTCAAAACGTGAGACAAGCTTACGTTTGATTTGCACAGGCAGTCGAATGACTCACTCAAGTCAAACTAAACTTTTCGATTACATTCTTACTTTTTGCGTTTTTTCTTTTTTTTCAAATGTTTATTCAATCTGATTCATATATATATATATATATATATATATATATATATATATATATATATATATATATATATATTTTTTTCAGGATAGGGACGAATCTTAAACTCGCCAGATGGAAACTTTTTAAAATAATGTATTTCTTCCTCAGTCTGCGTTCATTCTTCCATTTCGCTTCGTATTGTTTTCGTTGGTATTTTTTGTCGTCTTTTAAAATGCAGACATGTCGGATCGCACTTCCTGTTGTAAATACGCATGCTCGCACGCGGCTATGTGAACAAGCGGAGTTTTACCCATCGATTCCTTATCTCATGTTTATTTGCTTTTTTTATTTTATTTTTTAATTGCAAAATATAGAAGTCGGACGATGTTTTCGGCTGCATCAATTTTGGAACTGTCTTTTCGAAAAAAAAATGTAATTTCGTCTAATGCAATATTACAGAAACAAACAATTTTAAGTAAAATTAAATGCATCAGAAGTTGTCGACCGACTTTTGAAAGTTTTACGACGGTGATTAATAATGATAATAATAATGATAATGATAATAATAATAATAATAATAATAATAATAATAATGATAATAATAATGCAAAAGTAATATTCAAGAAAGGTAGAATTACAGAAACACCCTTAATAGATTTAGATTTTGTCACAAAGATTAGGGAACTGGAGCATGATTAAGCTTATAAGTACCTAGGAACTAGCGAAGGAGATGGCATACAACACCCCCAAATGAAGGAGAAAATAAGAAAAGTGTACTACAGGCGTGTACGTCTGGTACTAAATACTGAGCTAAACTCAAAAAACAGAATATCAGCCATAAACACATTGGCTGTCCCTGTGGTGCAATACAGCTTTAATGTCCTTAACTGGACCATAGCTGAAATTAAGCGAATGGACGCCAAAACGAGAAAGCTTCTAACTTATGTTGAGTGTCTGTATGTGCCCAGATCCGAAGGAGGCAGAGGATTAGTTCAACTAGAACTGTCCTTCAAAATTGCCTCCAAAGATACTTGGAAACTACAGAAGACAAGGAACACGAAAGTAGTAAGCGTCTTTACTCCGTAATAATGGAAGCCAACAAATTCAAAATGGAGTTCCAAATGGGCCCAGAAATACAAGTAAAGCACAGTACACTGGCTGAAGCTGCAAAATACTTAAAAATAGACAGCAAAGACAAATTCAACCGACCAGATACAGAAACAATGGCAAGATAAACCTCTTCTTGGCCAATACTCTGCCCGTACCAAACAAGCTGACGTAGACAAAACCCGTACCCATCAGTGGCTACGTAGTGCAGGGTTGAAAGAGGAAACTGAAGCTCTTATACTTGCTGCACAGGACCAATGCTTGCTAATTAGGAATTATCAAGCACATATACTAAAATAATGTGTCAGCCCAAAATGCAGATTCTGTGATAAATATCCAGAAACAATTGGTCATCGTGTATCAGGTTTTACGATATTGGCACCCACTGAGTATAAAACCCGGCATGACAGAGTGGGCCAATATCTGCACTGGAAAATATGCAACTTCTACGGGAAGGAAACAGAAAGAAACTGGTATGAACACCACCCAGATCCGGTTACGGAGATAGGACCTGTTACAATTCTATGGGACTACACAATACACACTGACAGAACAATCAAAGCCAACCGCCCAGACATTGCCATTAAAGACCACAGACAAAAAATAAATGCCTCCTTATTGATATTGCAGTCCCTACAGACTGCAATGTATCTTTGAAAATATTCAAATAGCTGTTCAAAGCTATCAACCACATTATGGATTTTGTTTCTATATTTTCAATGATGATGTCTTCTCTTTACGCAAAGAATAACGGAAGCGGTCGTTAACAGGTTTAGAAAAGAAACACGAGCTTTAGATACATCAAAAGACTTCGACAAGTTGTAAGAAACATTATCCCACACCAACGCTCCAGCTATAGCATATCTAGAAGGGTCTTGCTAGCTATAAAGTTATCCCTATCGTGCCAGTCCATGAAGGTCGTTGTTAAGTTCAGAAGTTATGAAATTCATGCCACCTGTAGCATCATTATTATTATTATTATATATATATATATATATATATATATATATATATATATATATATAAATATATATATATATATATATATATATATATATATATATATATGAAGAAGTATAGTTTTAAGAGAAAATTGCATGAGTTCCACCACTACTACTACTACTACTACTACTACTTATTATGTGTGGGAGAGTCTATTACAATAGGATAGGTATGTTGGTATAACATTTACCCACCACAGAGATCCATTCCTGCCTCCCACCGGAACCACTGATCTCCAAATCCCTGAGAGCGCCTCGTTACGCTTGCTTGCTCTCACGCTCTCCACTGAATTGCGATGGAATAAATTGAATCAATAGCTTCATCTACCACAAGGAAAGTTAGTTCTGTGTGTCGTGCAAGAAAAATTTTCTCCTCTGAGTCCATCCGTCAAATCTATAAATCAGCCATCCCTCCTTGCATGGCATATTGCTGTCATATATGGTCTCGTGCTCCCGATGTACGTCTCTAGGTCCTTGAAAAAATACAGATACGAATATGCAAGGTGATAGGTCCTTATCTGGGAACTAGTCTTCAATCACTCTCCCACAGACGTGTTGTGGCATCCCTCTGTCTTTTCTAAAAAAAAATTCATGGCAACTGTTCCAACGAGCTACTGCCGCTGGTTCCCGGACTCCATGAATTTAAACGTGCAACCAGGCCGACATCTTGGTCTCACCTTTTCCCTGTCAAAATGGTTAAATGTAACTGTCTCTTCCACTGAAGCAGCTTCTTCTCCCGCACTTCCCGTCTGTGGAATTCCCTTCCCCTTACTTCCTTCCCCGATGACTATAATTTTCAAATATTCAAGTGTAATGTCAATCGACATCTTATACCCTGAGCTTCTTCCCCGTCTTCCTGTGTATTCTTTCCTCAAACATGGCTCTTTACTTTTGTTCTAGATCCTCTGCAACCTCTTGCGTGCTACTGACATTCCTGCCTTACTTAGGTGAATTGCCTTAACACCCCCCCACACCTAAGAAAATCTCGTTTTCGTCTACTAAAAAAGAAAAAAAAGGAAATTAAAAAAATAGGCAGCCCAAGGAAATAAAAAGCTATGCCTTCAAGTACTTCTTTTTATATGCCGTGTCCTTTCAGGATGTAGGTGATCATGGCTTTGCAATTCTCCCTGTCCCTTGTAGCTCTCAATATGTCATGCGTTGCTTTCCCTTGGCCCTCTTTCCCTTTATTCGACCCGTGAGTATCAGATTCTCCAAGCCCTCCTTTCTCATTACGTGGCCCAGAAATTTCAGCTGCCTCTTTCTGGTGTTAAGTATAAGCTTCCTTCTCGTTTGTATCCTCTCCAAAACCTCATCATTGCTCACACACTTGGTCCATGAAATCCTCAGCATCCTTCTGTAGAACCATACCTCCGTCACCTCGAGTCTCTTCTTCATCTTTGAGGAGAGCGTCCAACATTCGTTGGTGTAAAGGAGGACAGATGTCACTGAGCAGTTCAGTACTCTTTTCTTTATAACCAAAGAAATCCTCCTGTCTTGTAATACTCTGTCTAGCTTTTGGAATGCGTCTTTGGCCATCCCAATACGTCTTCGGATCTCAGCGTCACATTTATCGTCCTCTGTCAAAACACTTTCCGGATATTTAACCTTCCGCACCTGCTTGATTTTAGTATCCCAGACCTGTAAATCACATTTCGGACTCATCCTTTTACTGACGAACATGCATTCTGTCTTCTTGTAGTTTATGCTTAGTCCCTTCTTCTTGCTCTCCTTCGTTACCTTCTGTAGGAGGTTTTGTAATTTCTTTTCCGTGTCTGCTATCAGTACTGTGTCATCTGCGTATCTTATGTTGTTAAGATTGTGGCCGCCAATGCTGAATCCTGTTACGATTTCAAATTCTCTCGGAATTGTCTCGCTGTATAGCTTGAGCACTTTTAATTCGATACTCATTTTTTGTTCTTGTGTGAATCTCTGGTAATTATCAATGTTTCAATACAGTGAGTTGTATGGATGGAAATTGATCAACCTATATTTTCAAAGAGGCCCAATTCGCTCGATGTACGCTATTTCATCAAGCTTAATTGCTTGATGTCTTAGTATTCGGATGCGTTTGCAATGCCACTTATGGATTGTGTTCGTCCATTAAATAATGGAAGCATCTCGGAGATTACGCCTTGCAAACTGCACCTGTTGCCAGAATTTGTTTCTCAGATGTCATCTATTCACGAAAGAGTAATGTT